CCAAATAAAATGCACAAATACTCATTTATATATATTACTCTACTTCTGATTGGCTCTCCATCATCATATATTATTTGTGTTTTCTTATTCTTTGTTTTATAAACTAAGTGATGATGATGATCCAACTTATTCTAGTCGAGATTTACGAAGAAAACTAACTGAAAATAAACGTATTGGTGATAACAATCTAAACAAGGTTGGTTAATAAATTTCGTTAAAAAACTTAAAGAACCCGTACGTATAAATTAATTTATCCATGTTTAAGATACACAATGATATTTTAGCAATTTGAATAAATAACATTTCTAATTCATATAATTAATAGTATCAACAAAGAACTTGATATATAGGCTTCTTTAAATGCTAGTCTTAGTAATGAATTTACTAGGACTAATTGAGTTTCTTCATAAAATTGAAGACTGTAGGTAGCTTGATTAAGTATCGGTCTGATGATTTGGTAGGTATATTCATTGTTTATTTTCTTATAGATCCAGTTTTAACATTATTCTATACTTTTCTATTCCATGAATTCATTCTTTCATATCGATTTACATAATGTATACCTAATCCTGTTCACTAGCACTGCTAATACTATTGTAGTGAACGTGAACCCAGGTGGGGATAACCAATTTACTTTTCGATGCAAAATTACAGAGTTTTTTCGTAAAACATGAAAAACCATACATTAAGTACTTCATTTGAAAATCTTCCACCAATTGTCTCAAACTCCATCGTTCGTTCATTGCTATTATAATTACTTTCTGTTTACATCCCCGTTCTCTTCATTTCGATCTTTTCAACCTTCTACTGCCAGGTACTCCACTTCTGATTGGTGTTAAATACGACTTATATCTGTTGATATAACTAGCGTGTACCACACTCCCCTCTTCGAACGGTCGCTCTTGCGATTGTTCTACTTTCTTTGTTACGATCTGTGCCACGCCCCCGTCAGAATATCGAGTCTGTCGGCGCGTTGACCTTCGTAGTGATGTCGACCTGTCGGGCCATCTAAATCCGATATCTGCCCAGCATCCGGGACGTCTAACGCCTGTGATCCAGTGACCCACTGAGCCATCTACATCCGATGTCCGCCCAGCAGCCGCACGTCTCAATATTACTACTACTGCTTCATCATTGATTTTGTTAATTACATTTTTCTGTGATGATATGCCATAACAACTTGAAACATAGGATATACGTATCGGGTACTCTACATTGCTTTATATCTAACTAACAAAATGTATGGAAACTTGAAAGTTTTGACGAATTATCATTACTATATTGTACACCCTTTAGATACAGTTTGTTCAGTAGGAAGAATCATTGATTAATGATTGTAATTGACCATAAGTTCGTAGTGTTACTTAACTAAAACAATTACTTGTTATCTGTTTTATTCTTTTTATTGATTATGTTCTCTACGTTTATACGTCACTAGGAAAAAACTTGTTCTTTGAAGTGTGTATATTTTCTTGCACTTTCTTGTACTTAAAATAGTATCAAGGTTAACGACGGGTTTTTTAAAAAAATATTACTTTTCATCAAACTTGTTCAGTGTTTTATCAGTAATACTTAGAATGATCAATAAAGATACTTTTCATAATCCTCAGTACATTATTTACTCTTTTAGGTATTCAAACATTATATTGATATTCAGCATACCATTCAAACTGTTCAACAAATTATACAAGAACCTGAAGATAACAATAAAGTTGAGCATGATGTTAATCGTCAGTCTGATATGATGAATTCTAGTGGGAAAGTTTCCGTTCCTAATCCGGTTTGTTCTGCAACGAACACTCAACAGTGTGAAAATGATAAACTTCCTAGTTCACCAGCAACATCTGATGAAGTGTTAACTTTAAGTTCAGATTCCGATGAAAATGAGGAGACGAAACCTCATGATATTACTTCAGGTTCCGTAAGTTCATCAGTGTCAGGTTATGATGAATCCACTCCTACTAACGATGTATCACAGGAATCTTCTGTTAAAAATGATAGACGTGATGAAAAAATCAAAGATAATATCGATGCTTCAAAAACTTCTTTGTCTGTCCCCGTAACATGCTCTTCAACGACGTTACCAACAACAACAATCGATCTACTTGATGATGACATTTCTTCGACAGATTGTTTTACTTCAACACCTCGAGAAAAAAGACCAAGGCTGGATCACTCTTGTCATTCAACTGATCCTTCTATCACGTATAATAATCGATTTCCTTTTTCCACACCACTACTTCAAGAAACTAGACAATCTAGCCAAGTTTTAACAGTGGCCACACGATATGGTCCATATGGATGTGATACATTCAGTCAAATGGCCAGTGCACATGTTGTACACCGTTATCCTGTAACTACTATTAATAATAATACTACTACACTAATTACAGATAAAATACTCGAAGAATCTAGTCGACATTTTGTTAATAATTCATATAAATGTTCATCAATAGTACATGTAAATTCTCGTTCATCTACTTTTAAACCTTTAGCAACATTGTGTAATAATAAATCTTCAAGTATTTCACATCCTACAACTACTCAATATCATCTGCCTAATTCAGATTCTTTAAATAATACTAATGATGTTACAACATCATGTAAAAATCCGCCTAGAGTTTATGATCACGAAACTATTGAAATTGATTAAAAAAATTGTTCAGATTCCCTTTCCTCTTATTTCATTTTGTACTTACAAATGTAATTATAGTTGAATTTCTTTTCTTTGTGTCTATTCATAAATATTAAAGTGGATATAGAGTGGCTCGTTTACCTCGAACCATTTTATTCCTCAGAGGTATGATGTTTTCTTTCAAACCACTTTATCGGTAAACATAAATTTGTTTGTTTTATTTTAAACATAGTTTTTTGCTGTTCCTAATTAGTAGAAAATGTTTCATCTTCAAAATAAAACCATTGTTATCGACCCTAACTAGTTTCTAGACATGAAGTAGAAGCTGGGTTCATTGTTAAATTGCTTGATTTTAAAGTAATGATCTTAAACGTAAAAAACGGCGAGGTTTGGGTACAACGATTCTCGTCCATCGTGACCAATTAATATTGTATGGTGCTTTTATTGAGTCACTAAGTGGTATACTACAAATCCAAATGAGTTTCAATATATCTGGTTTTTGTGGTCATTTCTAAACAAGGTACGATTTGATACAAGTTTCCACAGTTCATATGGATTTCGGAGGGGGGGTAACACCAATTTTAGTAGAAAAACAAACTTAAGAAATATGGAACAAAGGAACGGATGATATCTAGGGTTAAAATGGCAGTAAAATATTTAAATAAATATGGAGAATGAAAGAAATTGCGATCTTCTATGGAATGTCACTCAAGGTCTTTTACCATAGATCAGGGTCCATGTTTATCGTGATACAACTGAGACCAACAGTCGGTGACACGTACTGATGTCATCTGTTAATTTATCAAACCAGGCCTGTTTCTGTCTACGCTTATGCTAACTGGTATATTTTTATACAACTGGTTTCTTATTGGCTATAAACATAGTCTATCTATAATTTATGATTCAATGATGTATACTTTAGGATATTCAAAACACACTTCACATTCTCGTTTCGTCCGGTCTGGTTGATAAACGTGTGACCTGTTGAGTTAATTGACTACTAAAAACAATTAATACCAACGCAATTAGTGTTTGGCTTTTTAGATTTCTTGGATGGAAATAAATTTAACTATGTTCCGATAATTAGCATGGGGATTTATGTGTTACAAAGTCGATTTTATGTAGAGCAGTAACCCACTAGGACTTCTCAGTGTACTGACCCATAAAACCAGTAAACTTTCGACAGCACTTTCCTTCTAGTATAGAAACTTCTATCAAATTGATTGAGGTCGGAAACGTAAACATGGTGTACTAACTCAGAGTGGTCTAAAGGTTGAGCGCTCGCAGCGGAAACTCATGGTCGTGCGTTCAACCTCCGTTGAGGTCGTAAATATGCATATATGGACAGACAACTGTCGAATGCTCCCTGGTTTTTAATGATTGTTTAAGTAAGGTCAGTACGTGATGTAACCCACAGGAAAGATGAGTGAATCGATTGTACTAAAAATACTGTACACATAATAAACATGATTATTATGTTTTAAGCCTAGAGTATCTAGTCAGCTAACTTATCTAGACCCTGCTTATCAAGTTATAAACCTATTGCTGAATTATTGAATTCGTTCAAAAACAATCATTTCTCGACAAATTAACTCTACAGACTTTATGCATCTAACTAGAGTTATGAAATGTAACTAAACTTAGTTATAATTATATTGGTCATTGTAGGCCTTCATACAGACACAATTTAACGTCACATTTTCAAGTGGATATAATGTCAAGCAGTTACACATCAATTTTTACTGATTCCTCTGTAAAAACTTCTAGTTATTATCTAACAACCGCTTATTCGTTCAATTGGTCATTCCTTATCTGTAAAATTCCATAGTGACGTATGGTTCATACTGAACTACGCTATTTCTTATTTCCATACAAATAACCTTCAAGCTTTTCTATAGGTCCTTACCCTGACCTACGTTGTTTCCTGATGTACGTGTAGGTTAAATGAAATCACATCATTCTATGAAGTCGCTAACATCTATAGGTCCAAACTTTCTTATTATGGTTCACGTATTACTCTTAATCTGCAGTTGGAGAAATCGAGAGGTTATGGATTAAAATCAGTTAAAGTGTAGATGCATTAATTCTCTCTGTTCTAAATCTTCACATGATAACGACTAAGTAACTGATCCTTTCAAAATCGTTTAGTCAGAAAGTAAGCAGGTTTACTATAGACAAACTTTTAATCTGAGATTTAACGAGAAAAAAAACATGGAAACAAAAATATTTTTCCGATTTTCAGTACAAGTCATACATGTATAAAAAAAAATGACAAAATAATGTTATCATAGTCACAATAGACAATTATAAAAAGGGTAAGATATAATTGTGTAATAAATATCTGATAAATAATGTAGATAAATCTTTAACGAAAGAGATATTTCTCTAATATACTTATAGGATATTCAGTTGTCATTGATAGGATATACGCTACGATATAACTGAATACAGTTGTTGAAGTTGTTAAACGAACCTGAAAATAAACGGATATTATTAATAATTTTATTATTAGTGTTGTTTACATAACATGTATGATACTTTCGATCATGTGTTTCATGAGGTGGGTAGTTTAATTATTAATAAGATTTACTGTACCAAAAAAGTAGTATTCATAATGGATTGACTCAAGTCAGAGTATGAATCTTCTTTAAATGTGTTTACCTGATCTGAATAGTAATTTTTTCCTCACTTCAAAGCAATCATAATGATTGCTATAACAGAGCAAATATTGAGTAAAGTTAAACCTTGAAGACTGTTCTCTACCTGAAGTTAATGTTTGTTCACGGATACATAAAAAATATAAAAACAATTAAGCCAATTTACAATTTGATGAAAAATTCCCATTATATTAAAAACACAATTGTGTTCTTAATTTACAATTTTGTTATGTTAGTACTAAATACTTGAATTACTGTGTCTTTGTATTTCTTTAGACGTTTCTTTTATCGTGATGCATAAATTGTAGTTATGTTGTGTACTTTTCTTGAGTTACTGTTAACTTAATACTGACCTATTATTCAGTTCTTCTTCCCCTAAAACCTGGTAATGTATACATTTTATTTCTGCTGCTGTGATATCAGACATTTAGCCTCCATTATCATATGAGTTTTAAGTTATGGGCTAAAATGTACAATAGAAGTCATCTGCTTGCCGTGTCATTGTTCTACTCTGTCTACAGGGCAATCGAACATGGGGAACTGAATCATAATAAGTAGATGTGAAGATTATCTCGACCTCACCTCAGTGTTGGTTTCGATAGTCAAGGGATATCATTGATCCAATCTTAGAACACTAGGATATAAACGAAAGAGTAAATTCTGAGGTATAGAGGATTCTTGTTGGGGAATCCAATCAGTTGATATCAACTAACGTAATCTCTCATTAATTACAATGATACACACATGCTTTAAATACAAATACATTATTTGTAAGTTAAATTTATGCAGAATGTTGACTTTCAAGCTATTTGTAAAAACAAGTACTAGGATAATAGTTTTAAGTTTATATCACTAATTAACCTTAGTTAGATAACCAGTGAAAGCAGGGAGTACTGGATAGTTGCTTCGTTCTAGTGCGGGGCTTCTCTACAGTACACTTCCACGATAGCGTTGTAGGTCGTATCCAGTACCTCTAGGGCTTCATGGAGAGCAATAAATCTTTAGATCTTTGAGTCAGTATCTAATGGTTTACATTTCTAACACGAATCAATCTGCGATATTACGCGATCACTTTCTAGTGTCATTAGTTTTAATTAGTTGGTTAATTAAAGTCAGCTCATGATATGAACTATTAAACTCAGCAATCTGCACAAACTGTATACTTACTATATACGGCCTATAAAGGTTCTTTTGATTCAAGGTGTGCACTTAAACAATTTAGTAAGTCAATAAAAGATGAGTTAAATTGTTTGCTAACTACATTTTTAATACTTTCATCTCTTATTGTTAAACGAAGGTAACACTAATGCAAATGTCACTTACCTGCACCAAACATAAGTCAAACTCTGGCACAGATACAAATCTGGAATTTCAGTTATGTCAAATCTGTGATGATCATCATCAACCTAATAATCACTAGTTCTACTACTGACCAAGATTATTAATAAGTTATTTAACAAACTGAAATTCACATAACATAACACATTATGCGAAAATATATTTCATAGTACCTGTGAGTAATTTTCAAGGTTAAAGCTATTTCAGCGGATCGATTCTATTACTAATAAACTTTCAGATTCCAGTTACCAGTCTGTTCAACTAATTGTCAAACCAGTTTATTTTGATACCGCATATTCTTATAAGATGATGTTGCTTTTCTTTAGTAGATATTGGTTATTGAATGGTCTAGTGCTTGAATAAAAACACTTCTTTGATTATCAGAACTAAATAAAAGTCCCCAGCAGCCTAAATCTGCTAACTTAGTGCTAATAGCTTACATTTCATCAGAAAGGTTTAAACGAAATGGATAGTGGCCAATGGCGGAATCCAGGATTTATGTTTGGTTCTACTTGTGACTCGTTAGTTGGTTATCTCTGTACCCCAATATTGACGTCCACACCGTGAATTAAACACGGTATATTTCCCTTCAAACACCTAAAGGATTATTCATTATCTGAAGAAGCTGCGTTTGAGTTTCTTTTTCAATATAAACATTTAGGGTGCAGAGAAATCCGGCTAAGGAGTCCCATATAGGATGAAACGTCAATCCTCGATTTCGCCACCAGCAACTATCAAATTTAGCTTGAAACTGCTTGTGATTTAATTGCGCTATCGAAACAGTTTTTTCAAGATGCTCATACATCGAAAGAGGCCGATCAATTTTAGCCCTTAACATGAATAATAGAAATATCCAAACCCTTACACATGGTTTTCATAAAAATTGTTTTCTTCAGACTCATTAACTAAACAATCACCTCACCGGATGACTAACTTAATTATTATCATCAAAGAATTCAAGTGATTTCACTTCAGAGTGCCTACTTAGTTATACTTTTTAAATTGGATCATCTGACTTAAAAACACCAACATATTTTAAAGTAACTTTGCTAACTTTTCTCTTATTTTTTAACGACCTTTACATTTAAACAATGGAAATACTACAGAATAAAATTTTTAGAATGCTATCTTGTAGAAATTAATGCTAAATGAATAAATATCATTCAACTATGAAGATTTTCAGCGTTGATCACATAGTTAACAAATAATCTAGACTATTTTATGATAAAAATTTGTTAATAATACAGATTATTCATATTAAATCGAACAAATAAAACTTAAAAGATGATGTGGTGATAAAGCTTTATATGTACTTTTATTACTATTCTCTGGAAAGGTTTAACGCTTTTAAACGGCTAGCAGATAGAGAAAAAATATGTAGGTTTGTGTCTAAAACATCAGAATTTCAATCTTTTGAATTTTATATTCGAATGGTCAATCCAAATTATTCAGTTAGTGTGATATCTTAATGAAGACTAAATAAATATTAATGGCGAGACTTGAATTTATGGACGAACCACTCAGATTTAAGATAACAGGTATTGGATTTTGGCATGAAATTCATTCATCCATTTGGTTAAATAGAGTTTCAGCATTATAGTTTATTATGAAAACTTTAAATCTATTTCCTAACCTTAACCATCATCAGTAAATCTTAATTCCAATTCCCAACACTGGTTTATAACCTTCATTTGGTCGTAGTTATTAGTCGGACACTCTCAGGGTCAGTCTACCTTCGCCCAAAGGTCGTCCACAAATTATAGTCTCGCCGAATATATATACTTGCATTTCTCTTATTATAAACTTTCATTTGATATATTGACTACTATTATACGATTAACTATTCTTAATTTATTTCCAATCTATCACATATACACAGTTGCTTTCGGCTAGATCTTTTATAATCGTTATTTTGTATTTTATGGTATCATGAGGTCTGATTTGCTTGTATATAAACGGTGTATGTCTGAAATACGTGATTTATACAACGGAAGCTGAGATTGTGTTCTGGATTCAACAGGTAGAGTTAAGTGAGAAGAGCCAACAAGGACTTAGAGTAGACTCTAGGCTGCTCATGCTGGTTAACGCATCATTGGTTTAGTACAGTGTCAAGATCGTATAAGCCAGTGTTCTGATTGGCAATCTTGTTACGTGATAATTGACAGGGCCAAAGTCATACCAGTTAGTGTGGTGGAATAATTCCAATATTATCTCATATGAAGCTACTTCTCGAGGACATTGATGCGAATAATTGTTTTATTCTTTTGTAAATGTTTTGAACAAATAGTTTCGACTACTGATCGATGACGAAAATAAATATTCACAATTAACCTCCACTACTTTTATAGAAATATCACTGAACTTTCGAGTTTTTCACATCAGATATCTAAATAAGGAAAACACGATCCAACCTTGAGTTTATAAAATTGCATGAAACTTCGAATATCACACTTGTCAGTATAGCTAGTTGTTTAAATAGTCCAGTTAAATGTCTATAAGCATTTGGCACTATTGAGATAGTTTTTATTTACTACTTCAAACTAATTTTTGGTAAAATGGAGTAGAGAACTAAATTCTCTTGAAATAGATTCCAGACTTCTTGAACTCTTCAATAATCTTGTTATTACTGAACAGGCGAATCTGTCAGTAATCTGTTTTTCAATTTTAAATTCATTTACTACTACTACTACTACTACTACTACTACTACTACTACTACTGTGGTGTGTATGTTGACAGACCTAAGTAGTATGTAACACCGATCAGAAGTGAAAAACCTGGCAGCAGTAGGCTGTGAAGGTCGACTTGAAGAAAACAGAAACGGAATTAGAAAGGAATGTATTTAATGTATAGTTCTGATATTTTACCAAAAAACCCTGTGATTGTTCATTAGGATACGTTTTATTGTCATTTTTTGTGTTCGCGCTCATTACACTGGTTATATTACGGACAATGATTTTCCTCAAATTTCAATTTCACTTAGGACAAAGTTTCCTTTCCAAATTTATTGAAATTGACTCGAATTAACAAAATGATCTACTGGATTTACCACGTCCATAATTATTATGACCATTCTTTTTCAGTAAATCTAATTAAATAACAACTATTTCACTTAGTTACACCTGAAATGATATTATTATTAACATGCAACATTTTACTAAAAGATAATCAGTAAAATATAAATTGTTTCATTGAACCACTTCACTTACAACCTCCAATTGATCTATGATAAATGGAGTTTGTGCACCATTAATGAATATTATAACAAGGATAGGATGAATTAAGTAAGCACTATAAGTAAGACGAGCTGGTACACGAAATCCAGACCATGCAAATAGATTGTAAATAGGCTCTGATAAAAAAAGTAATCAGAAAAATCAATAAATTTGTATCTGACTAATATTTAAGCTGAAAAAATAACTATCATCCAAATATTGATAATTAAATTCTTATTGTCTAACATGGTATTAAAAAGTTATGTTTGATAATTTGATCTTGAATTCAATGGTTGGTTAATTATTTGTAAGTAAACTGACGTCTATCCATCTTTTGGTTTCATTCAGTACGTGCAACATTTAAGCTTAATTCTTTTTATCATTGTGACGAACGATAGCAAATAAATTGGAATTTTCAGCATTTTAGTATCCAACGTTTTATAATAGATCTGGGAAAATGGACAGATTTCTTGCCGACGTCATACCGACATAGCCTCATACACAGATGCTGGGATAGACATGTTTACTGTTCTTTCCCTTGGATTTTACATTTTTGTAGATTTCTAACTAAGGTTTTATTACACAGCTGGAAATTCCCTTAGAAATGAACAGATTGGCTGTAGTGGGTTCTGTTATGTTGAGTGGTATTCAGATCTTTGATACTGTGTTATAAATGTTTACTGTACATTATTCCAAGCAGCTACTTGAATGGGAAGGAGTAAGAAAGTGTATTAGCTAGTTAAATCATATTACATACACGAACTCGATCATTAATAAAGATATGCACTGCTCAGAAACTTAATCTGTAGTTTAAATCAATAGTGCATATCAGTCTTCATTGGAGAATTAAGACAAATCTTGGTCATTAGCGTCCATTCGTCAGCATTTCTCGCCTATCATTTGACTTTGAATTAATTTATCTAACTGACACGGTCTATCAGGTGCCAAACACTTAAGTTTCAATTTAAGCACTGATAATTCGGATGTTTACTGCTAATAAGTAATAAATCATAGACTAAATTCAACAAAATACTTACTTCCCCATCCTGTTGCACATAAGTAAACTGAAATGCCAATGCCTAAAGTAAACGACAGACGATGGAATGCTAAATAAGCGGCTGCTGTTCTATGACTCATTTCAGTCAGTAATCCACTCAATACACCATAGGAAACAAATATTGGTAGAACGAAAAGAAATGCTGCGACTAGGTAACCAATTGATACAATAAAAATCTGATTTCTCCGTGTATTTCTCTTCGATGATTCAACAGAAAGAAAAAAATATGAAATAGAAAGGGAACGGTCAAGGGGATAGTTACTGATCACGTGATCTTAATGTTCGGAACTGTTCTGAATGCAATACTTTGATCACTGATCCATTTTAAAAGAATAATCCTCATCAACACGCACCAGCTATAATGTCAAATAACGACTTCAAGACCTGTGAATATCGCAGTTGGTTGCATTATCTTAGAACCACTGAGTTAAAGTCCGGTGTTCCACATTCCAAACTTCAGTCAGTTTACAATATATATCACGATACTTTCCGATTTCATTCATAAAGAATTGTTGAATTGCAGATATGACGAACTACTTAAGTTATAGTTCCTCATAAAATTGTTTGGAATTCAACCTAAAGATAGTTATATATAACCATAAAGTTGTTGTAAATCATCAAATTATCTCTAAAACTAACATTTTAAAGATATTGTGCTCGTTCTAAAACCCAAAGATCTCAATTTCGATCTCCTGTGTGGATCGTAGATGCAAAATGTTTAGAAGCTGTAGTTTAAGACTAAATGAATGACCCATGGTTTCTAGTTTTTAGGAGAGAGAATTATTTTCATCGATAATAATTGCTTAGTTAATTAATAACTTACCATTTCAACTCTAGGATAATCATATAATAACCAGCCGGTTAACATTCCAAACATATATGTTCCACAACGTGTGTATGGTCTCACATAGATTTCTTCTTTAACTATACTGTTTATAATCAAATGATTTTATTGAAAATAAATTTAGAATGAATAATTAATGTGAATGGAGTTTCAAGTCATTATTATTTAAAATTCTGAACGATTAATGAAATAATTAAAGTAACATTATTAGTAAAGAGGTTTTGTGGAGACCGTTAAATTTTCATTATCTATATCAGGGACTGATCTTAGTTAGATTTCCAGTAAAGAAATCAGGAGGTTCTTGAGAGCCTTTTCATTCTATTATGGAACTTTCCAGTATTGCGCATCCAGAACCTTCGATCTGGTGTGTAAACACTTAACCTCTAAACAAATGGTTCGGAATCCAATGATCTATATTTCCAGTTTAAATTGACTCATGGTATTGCTTGACTATTTCCATTAACTGCAGTGGATAACTATCTCGAACCCATCATCTGTCCAATGCTACCTGTTTTTCAATAGTGATCTTACGAAGATCAATTCGTCATGTGAACTCTAAGATAATATTAGCTTAACGCCAGATTTCAGTGTGACAAATCAATAATCAAATCGATTCTACAGGTAAGTGTGATAATGGGATTTCTTTGTTGAAGACTACATCATATTAAGTAGTTCTCATTAAGGGGATTCAATTGATTAGCGATCTCATCAATAAGACAGTTAAAAAAGAGCTACTCATTCAATTAAGAGTAGTAAATTGATCAATACATGTTATTTCATTTCTTAACCACAAACCAAATAAATTTGTGTTTGATTTTTGACGTATATTTTATAAGTAAGACGTAAAAACAAATACTGCTGTACAGTAATCATAAGTATGAAAAGAAATAAATTGATTAATTATAAGCTAACTGTATAGCTTAATAGTACTATACATACTGCAACTAAATGATTCTAAATACAACTGTTATGCATAAATCATGAAAAACTTTGTGTTTTTCTTAGTCGTTCACTTATTTTTGTTAAGCACTATACTTGCATAGTGAAGCCAATAAATTTAGGGCTCTGTTGTATCCCAGAATCTTCACTGTTATAACTGAAAAATTTAGATCCGTCGGCAGTTTTAATTGGGTTCCCAACCGTTATATCTGGGGAGTCATTTCCGCTATGTACGTATTGACTCCGTTGAGTCAAAAGCCTTACTGTTCTTACTTGACAATCGGGAACCATTGTAATCCCTAGATTCTACTGCTTATATTGGGATACGAGAACCATTGCAATACCCACGACGCAAAATGAGAACATGAGTGACTGGTTCAATGGATTTTTATTGACTTCCCAAAATTGAATCATCTTTTGACCATAATACAACCATTTATCTACTAAATTTCACACTTGGGTAACGTAAATGTAAAATCATACACAATAAATATAGTTCATCTGAACTAATGTAGGTAATAAAATTGTCGCACTCGACGAGAATTCACACTTGTCTTACAGAACAGAGTTTTCACTGAAGTGATACAAGAAAATATTAATTTAAAATGTCACACTGAACTAAGTTTGGACCCTAGCCAAAATTCATAATGATTTGATACAAAAATGTTGACCTAAATAATGTCATCTTATCCCGTCATCTCAGGTTCATGTTTCGAAAATAAGTCACCAATTGGATTACTGACTTAATGGAATTTATTTATCTAGCACTGGTTCATTGATTCAACTTTAGTCACACTTTTCTATGATACAACTCATTCTAATCAATAAGGGAGTACTTAAAATAAAAAATAAAAGATAAGATTTAAATCTGCTGCTCATTGGTTGAAATTACTATATCCACTAGGGAAATAACAAACTGATATGGAAAAATTAGTTTTCATCATCATAAATCAAACTATTCTTCAACAATTTCATGCAATTAGTTCCCTTTATGAATTTAAATAAAACCAGAACGAATATGGATGCTTAAGGTATATCAGTGGTATGCCCGGTGACATTCCTCAAGCTTTTAAAATTATTAGCAAAGAAAGAAATATTGCTTCTCTTAGGTTTGCTGAAGCGATTACGATAAAAAAGCTCAAACATGATCTATGTATTCAGAATGATACAGTATTAAACCTATTGCTACCCTGGTAATTCAATGTTTTGGACATTAGTTTTATATTGTTAATGTTTAGTTGGTTATATTTCTCTTTCATTACCGAGTTCTTATCTTATGTACATTTAAACCACCTCACTTCACTTATACATTTCCATCCACTCAATTCGCTTAAATTACGTGAACTCATCAAATCTTGTTTAATTATTACGCAATTCTACGAATCTTATACAAACACTTCATTACCTCTAAAATTATCACACAATGAATCTTATCTGTCCCTGAACTACACTCAATTATTACATCACCCACGCATCATGTTTCTTGATTCTAACACTAAATGACCTGTGACCGCTTCTTGCACACAGATATATAGTTATTATTTATAACATTTGTCATTCCGATTATGTACATCCACTTATGTCAATTATTTCACACTATATATTATCTTAATGTAAAATTCGAATACAAATTTGATTGTAAGCAGCTGATGAGGAACCACGAAATATAATGAATTTATATTATTCTGCATCCATGTTCGTTCTGGCTTTATTTATATTCTTCAACATTTCAAGGAGTAAAACAATTTTTCAACTAAACACTGCAATTTCTATTGTGTTGATAGTTTAATATGGACATAAATTCACAAATGAATGTAAGGTATTTATGTTTGCTTGCAAGTTTAGAGAAAAACGCTAATTTGTAAGCTAGATTGAGTTCTTTGTTCAGTGCATATATAAAGTCTAGTCTAGTCTACTATTACAACCATTTGGTGAGTTATGAATATAATTTTTTTATTGTTCTGGATTCTAAATACATTTTTCAAAAGCTGATATTCCATAATATCAAGAGAAATGATTTAACAGAATTTGCGCAAAATTTTAGTATGTCAACGGAGGAATCTACCAATTTAGTCTACGAGACTATTAATGAACTATAATCGATTCATAGTTTAACTTTTTCTGTTACATATAAGTAGCTACTAAACAGTAGAATGAGTTTCTTGTATCTTCTTCACTACATCAGTATTTACAGCTATCTAGTGTAAAAACATTTGAGAATTCTTCTGATAGTGATATTCGTAATAATTTGTGTTTAACTGAGATATTTGTTATTGATGAAACTAGTGGTCTTGATTGATCAGCCTAGTAATAATGATATGTTCGACAAATTTTAGAACAGTGTACGTATGTTATCTGTCTGTGATAGTGTGTGTGTAACATTGTGAAGTAATACATCACATAGAATCTTTGACAAAACCCCTGATTGTCTTGCCTCTACTATTCCTGTTTGTTGTTAGTGAGTGGTCAGCACGTTGTTTTAATTATTAGACTAATCATAGTTTATCGATTCGCAAATTCCATTTTTGTTGTTGTAGTATTACGATAGTAATCGTGCAATAAAACTGTAGTTGTGTAGTGTTCAAAGTACTTGACTTTGACTTCTCGAATAGGGTCACTGAGCAATTAGTGTTTCGTACCGTAGAATTTCTTCAATACATGTATGTGCTTAATGTGCCTACCTGTAAGTCGGAAATAGCTAAACAGTGTTGAGCTATCTTCTATCCTCCTGTCATATTGACTAGTTCAGGAGTGCAGATAATTTTTGATTTATTCACACCGAGACACTTTATTTCACTATCAAGTTATTTATCTTACCAGATATCGCAGACTAACAGTCTCCACATTCAGGATCCTAGTGTGGTCATTCACCTCGCCAAAACGGAGAGCCGACGAGATACACCGTCTGTGTATCTGGTGACCCGATGGCTAGTTCTCGTGAACTGACAGGTGTAGGCATATCACAAAACACAAGGGTGGAACAAGCACTATTATCGTGGATCCCCGTTAACAGTCGTCTATGTGCTGTTTGGCTAAACGGCTCTTTATGAACTCGGGAGGATAGGGACACACGTCGCCACCTTTTCGTCGTTTTTGCCTACGCTCCCACTGACTGCAGCTCGGATGAAGTGAAAGATGACTTTTACAGAAAGCTATCTGAACTTCTTCAGAATGCTAAACGCTCAGATATAGTACTCGTAGCAGGTGACTTTAATGCCCAGATAGGTAGCTTAAACCAAGCAGAAAGACATTTAGGTGGGTATTTTTGTATTCTGGCTCAGCGAACAGATAATGGTGATCGTCTGCTGCAACTGTGCTCCGACAATCGTTTAGTTTTAGCAAGCACTAATTTTAATTTGTTTGAACACATAAATATTGGTGCAACGGGGCGCCGGATATATATGCGCCACACTAATTTTAAGCATGAGAAGAGACATCGTCTCGCATGGCGACCCCCTTGCACCAAACCAACGATGGACTCAAATAGACCATATTGCCATCAGTCATCGTTGAAGTGGGTCGATTGTCGCTCATTCTGGAATACTTGCTTGGACTCCGATCATGCTCTAATACGGGCACGCATCTGCTTGCACCTCACTAAACGCAGGAAAACTACGTTAAGAAGATCAGTTTAAATTGAAGTGTTGCTTGGAAAGATATACAAACAGCTGTGGAAACAGCAGTGACATATGTTAGTGATTTAAACCAAAGGGTTACAAAGAACCAATGGATTTCCTCAAGGTCTATTGCACTGATGGATTCTCGTAAACTCATCCCGTCACGCTCTGAACACGATCAAGAGCTAAAACAAATCAGATCTAGGTTAGGCAAAAGTCTAAGGAACGACCGTGAGCAGTGGTGGGCAACGAAAGCAAAAGAGATGGAAAATGCAGCAGCTGTAGGTAACACAAGACAGCTCTACATATTAATAAAAGAAGCTGGAATTAATAAGTCAAGGGCAAGTGAGACTATCTCGGAACAAGACGACACTCATCTGCTCCCAGTCCAGACGTTTAGAACGACGGGCAGAACATTTTAGAGAACAGTTCAGCTGGCCTTCAGCTACTTTACAACTACCCTCCATTTCCAGACTGAATAGAACATTGAGGTTGGTCCCCCAACTCTAGCTGAAGTTAATATGAAACGAGGAAGGGCAGATGGATTGGCTCCAGAGGTCTTTAAGGATGGTGGTCCAATTTTAGCGATTAGGTTGACTAATATTTTAACTAAAATCTGGAAGTTGGACGTTATCCCATCTGACTGGTCACAATCACTCATTGTCCCAATACATAAGGGAGGGTCAGAATCATCCTGTGACAACCATAGAGGGATTAGCCTAACTAATATAGCATCTGAAATACTGGCCTCGATAATCATCAGTCGCCTAACTAAGACTCGTGAACTGCAAACACAAGAGAATCAAGCCGGCTTCAGACCTGGTCGTGGCTGCATCGACCACATATTCATTATTCGTCGGTTTCTAGAACATAGGCGTACATATCGGGGTCCGACAATGGTGGTCTTTCTTGACTTAAAAGCAGCATTTGACTCCGTAGACCGCGAGATTCTGTGGCAGTGTGTCATTGAAGGGCATACCTCAGTAGTACAGAAACCTTGTGAAGGCTCTTTACTCAAACACTACTAGTCGAATCAGAGGTTATGGCGAACTGTCATCTACTTTTGCAAACTCAAGCTGTTTCCGTCAAGGCTGTCCAATTTCTCCATTTTTGTTTAACTTCATCATAGACCTACTGATGGAAATAACGCTCTCATCGACTGAATCGTCAGGTATTGATCTCCTTCCAGAGGTCCACTTATCGACTTAGATTACGCAAATGACATGATCCTGTTTGGTGAAGACGCTTATAAAATTCAGTGTTTTGGTAGCACTAAGCAACAGCACCAGAATGTTTGGAATGCGCTTTTCTCCCTCTAAATGCAAGTTGTTGCTTCAGGACTGGTCCGCGTCAACACCTGAACTAAGGATAGGGAGTGAAGTAGTCGAACGCGTTGACAACTTCACTTATCTTGGAAGTTTGATCAGCCCTAATGGGTTGATGTCTGACGAAATCTCAGCTCGGATTCGAAAATCTCGTTTGGCTTTCACTAACTTACGTCACCTATGGCGAAGACGAGATATTCGTCTATCAATTAAGGGACAAGTATACTACGGAGCAGTCCGTTCTGTTTTACTTTACGGCTGCGAAACATGGTCTTTAAGAGTATAAGACACTCGTAAGCTACTAGTATTTGACCACAGATGCCTTAGAAATACTGCTGGCGTCTGCTGGGATCACCGGGTAAGTAATAGTGAGGTTAGACGCGGAGGGTATTAGGGAATGATGGTAAATCAGTTGACGAGGTTATGAATCTTCATCGACTGAGATGGTTGGGCCACGTGTTACGTATGCCCGAACACCGATTACCACAACTTGCAATACTAACCGGTGTTGGAGATGGTTGGAAGAAAGTTAGGGGCGGCCAAACCAAAACTTGGCATCAGTGCTTGAGGTCACTAACTTCTGATCTGAGCCATGTTGGGAGATGTATACTACTTGGTTGGGGTCCGCGTGACTATCGTAAACAATGGTTGGAGACTCTTGATGACATGGCTCTGAATCGATCACAGTGACGTTGGTGTATACACCCTTCGCCTTCACTTAATCCTTGCGATTAGAATTACTCAAAATTGTCTACAAACTAATTCTTTCTTCCTGCACTATATCCTTATTGCAATCTTTCTTCTATATATTATCACCTCTGAATTAACTACTTTCATGAATCCGGTGTCCATCTTGTTGTGTTAATGAGGTATGGCAACTTGGACCGATGCATATATGTGCCTGGTCCTACGTTGTAGCTGACTGACTGACTGATTGTCAGTAATGAGCAGTTAAAAGTATTCGAGAAGTTCGAAGAATTGGTGATACTCAGTGGCAACACCATGTTAGAATGCTGTGTTCGACAATGTGCACTCGGGAACAGTGTTGATGATTCAATTGGTGTAACCATTTTGGAACACTGGCTTCGGTGAGTTGGACATGTGTGGCAAACACTGACCCAATGAATTCCACATGTTTCATTATTTGTTGATACTGTAAGTGGTTGGTAAAAGCAGAGGTGTAGTCAGTTTTTGACACAATACTGTGACTGGAATCTATTGGTCCGTGTTGGCTTTGTTTTTGGGAAGTAGATATTATGCAATTCAACGGCTTACGTTGTTATCATACATTGTTCAGAATAGAAGCCACAGTGGCAGTGTTGCTGTAATTTTCCTTTACATTCTTCATAGCCCTCAAGTGCCCTGGTGCGGCCGAGTGTTGGGAAATTCCGCTCTCCCTCTCGGAACGCTCTCACATAGCCACATGTATGCAAACACTGCCAAGAAGGTCCTATGCACTGCCTTCTCGTGGCGGGGATGTTTACGAAACTGAAAGAACAAAAAGCGAACGTTAGTAACTCTAATCGGGTTTGTGGACAAGGAATATCCATCTGGGGAGTTGGAAAACCCTGATTCCAAACCAACGGTGTACATGAACTTCAAGATCTTGAAGAAACAAATGGAGTATGAACCAATAGTTGGTCACCATCTACCATGGGACCGCATCTCTTGACTTTACCCCACTGCCTCGTGGTTCAGACCTTTAGTTTGAAGGCTCCGGGTGTGGCCGCGTGAGAAGACTACCTGCTTCGATTTGGGCACACGGGCAGTATTATAAATCACACACAGATCAAGTGACTTGTGTGGCGTTTGTGTATTTGGTGCCCCCTTGTACCAATATATGTGTGTTCAAATAAATAAAAATACATTCTTCATTAGAGTAAGAGCGTCTTGTTTAACCGTAAGAATTCTTCCGGTTATATTTTTTTAAAACTGGATTATGTCTCCTATTATTTAATATCGTCCATATGATTTTGATATGGTGGAGAAGATTTGTAGCTCAGATGGATGATTTTGGAGTTTTGTTCTCTGAGCTGGATGGTTTGGTCGTAGAGCTTTCATTGTTCTTCAGGTTAATGTCTGCCTGAAGGTTTGCTGATGATTTCGTTCAGAAGAACTATGAAAGCTCCACGGCCAAATCATCCAGCTCAGAGAACAAAACTCCATCAAAAACTTATCTCGTTCACTTATTCTTATTGATTAATTGCCTTTTTTTAAATCATACTCACCTTTCTTCTTCTATCTCTTCACGACCTTATTTCTTTACTGTGTGTTAAATATTTATTCTGATGTTCTTTTGCATCAACATTTATGTGCTTAGCAAATTAAGTAATGCTACTCAACAACATTTACATAATAGTTTAACTGTTTATAGGATAAACAATAGAAACTTACTCCATAATTTCAAATGAATGAATATAGGCAGTGAAATAAGTGATTAATGAAGATAATAGAATAAATGAAAGAGCGAATAGAATTCCAGTTATTCGTTTCCTAGAAAAAAAAGTAATAATAAATCTATTTGGGTTTATATTTTGTGATTTATTTATTATACAGATTGATATAGTATTGATATTTTCAATAATTCCATATGGATTTAATGAGACTATATTTTATGGACAACTTTCGAGTAATCCTTAAGTTACCTTTGGAATGTCTACGTACTTACTAAAATTATGAATTCGTTTAAGGAATTAGAATAGGAATATACAGTTGGACATTAGGGTTTAACAATTAGAGTTAGGATTCTCAACACATCAGCTATAATTTTAAAATGTTATAGATGAATAAATTTCAAGTTGGCATCCAAGACTTGTCATCTTAAATTTGATTGGTTTGTCCATATATTATAATCTTACCAATCATTTGTATAATATTTGTTTTCAAAATAAAATGTTGACAGTTCCAATTACTATCTGTATGATAAAATGTTTATGAGATTCCTTAACATGCATTTATAATGATCAGCTCATCAGCTAGTTTGATGCTTTCTCAATGGAAACCACATGTAATTTAGCCCATAGTAAATAAATTATATTCAAATTGAATAATAGCCTTTTTAAATAAGTTTTTTTTCCAAAGAGTCGATGATTTTCAATATCAATGATTTATTTATGTCAAGCTATACTACATGGACTATGCTGATAGCAAACGTTCTGTATCAGGTTGTATTAGTTGATATCGGAGACTGTAGTTCAGAGTTATTCATACTCAAGTATTTTGTTTTATTTTCATGTTAGTTCTTAGTCATTTCATGATATATTCTATTCACTTTGATATAGTATCTATCATAAGTGTTTAGGCAGATGAATCATTGGTGTTTGTTTAAGTAGCTTAGATTATTGGACAAAATCATTGGAGATGGGCAGATGATGCAGATATCTTTAGTGTGGTTGTATCTCTAAAATGGGTAAATTTTTTTTGGATAATATCATTAGTGCCTAATTTATGTAGAAGTGAGAAATCTTTTATTTTGTAAGTGTCAAATTTATACATTTTGATGGCGTTGCTTATTCTCGTTGCTTTATTCGTCTTCGTTTGTTTTCCAATTCCCGTTCAAAGTTTTATTCGTGTGACATTTGACTGAGTGATTCATTAACATTTTCCATACTAATGGTAACATAGAACTACGCTGATATTGTCTAATCGTTAAACGCTAAATAAAATGCTAATTTATGTACATATTAAGGTTTATAACGTCTATTTTATCCAATGCAATATCCTTATCAGTTTGTACAATTTATTTTGTGAATGACATTAAGTTTGTGTTCCTCTGTTGTTACGTCCTCATTTGCATGAATCGTAGTGGAGCTGTTTTATATCATATTTATGGAAGAAACGTTTGGTCATAACTGACTTACAGTAGTATATAATTTGTCTTTGAATATCGTGTCTATCAATCTTATTAACATACAATCTGTTTTACTCAGGAATCCTGCACCAGAACATCAGAGTTTGCTGCAATACAATCATTAGGTTGTGACAAACAGGTCTATCTATCTATCTATCTATCTATCTATCTATCTATCTATATATATATATATATATATATATATATATATATATATATATATATATATATGTTTATTATTGACGCATAAGTGGCATTACTTATTCTATAAAGTATTTTCGGTCAGTCGGTCAGGGGTTCCACCTTCCGTCATCTATTCAGCTCGGACTTTAAGATTGGTTCTCTGAGTAAATCATACGTTTTGTCACAGTTCATTTAGTATTTTATCAATCAATAGTATTGTCATAACAATGTTTTCTAGAAACATGCATTTTATAATGTCCCCATTGTGAAGCTATCTAATTAGCATATTATCTCTTGAATATTTTTTGCCACTGATATGGTAAAGTTTAATGTTGAACTAAATTGGTGTTTCCATTATAGAGAAATCTAACTAATAAACCCTTAAAATGTTGGAAGTAATAGGGAACGTTTTCATTATAACGTGATATTACTTATAAGTACCTAGTCACCTCAACTTCTTTAGATAAAAATAAAATGGTCCCACGATTAGATGGCAAGTCAAATTTGTTTAGTCGACATAACCATTTGTAGTCAGTTAAGAGTAATCAATGTCGACTCTGTAATCTTCCATACTTAACATTCCTAAACGTTAGTTAACAAGGATTCTTTCTAAAACTTCTTCATTTCATCCAAAAGATATTCATTGGTAATTATTACCGGTCAAGATATATGCATCTATCAATAGAATGGATGTCTCTTTGTGAAATGTCGAAAGCAATACAAGATTTTGAGCAACACTATGAATTTTGAAAATAGAATTTATGAAATGTGCATATAATTGAAAACCATCTATGAGGTCATTTGTTTCTGTATTCTCAAGATAATATTATTTGCTGTAAAAATATTTATTTGTAAAGGATCTTTCAAAAGAATCACTTCGAGATCCTGACGACGTAAAATTTTGATTTTGTTAGCATAATGAAGAATAAGAAATTATAACATATTACGAAATTCAAAGCGATAAAGATGTGAAGAGGTTAATTCCTCTATAAATGACTCCACTAAATAGCACCCCGTTAATTGAGTATTTACGCAGACCAAATCTCCTAGTAATATTATAAGTTTATTCGAGATTATTCAAAAGTCAGAACACCAGTTGTAGAGATATTCCATTGTTAATAATTGATAAAAATCCGTATACATGCAGAAAACAAGTACATAGGGAAACGAATGTGAGAGAGTGTAGAGAGCGAAGCGAAACAGATCAGAGAACGCGTGTGAGCCAACTCGATTTAACTAAGCTTGAATAGATATTTATAGTCGAACAAAAATAAGTTACAGACAAATAATGAGTAACGTAAGTAATTAGCACACATGCGTGATCATATAAAAAATCGTCAAGACTAATAAGCGAGTAAGTGATTGGGTAAAAATGTGGCTTGAGAGGAATGAATAAATTGGTCTGTTCATAATCTAGAATAAATTATGTGGACTTGGTTTAGTATCAGCCCCGACAAATGAATTTTCTACATTCTACCAGATATTTCAGTGTTTTCATGCATCTCTCAAATACACTCAGCTTTCGGATTGTTTGATCTCATCATTTGCTGAAAATACATAGATCATTTAATATCTTATGGCATACGTTTAATTTCAGTTAAAATTTAATTTTGCTCTATTCTACTATTGGCTTGAACATTTCATCTACTATATTTCAATAGAAAACGAAGCCATGTACGGTATAAATGACTCAGAATTTACTATTTCTTCCTACAGATAAGGTTTCAACTCTTATCAGATTTTAAAAAAGTGTTTTCCTCCTTTTTATTTACTAAGACAACGGTGAATAGAAGTTATTCATATAACTAGGTCTTAAGTAGTCAAGTATGCGTTAACAATACCATATAATTAATCCAATCACTAATAATACACAAATAAAAGAATATTTTCTCGGCTAAATTTTGTTTTCATTTATGAAAGTAATTTCATATGTTATGTCAGTTAATCAATCATAGAAGCGTTTTGGAGAGAAAATTTTTATCAATAATAATAGGACGTCGAATGCTTCCAGGTTTTCAATAGGGATCTAGTCTAATATTGATCAGTTCATAATCTTAATTGAAACTCAACAATCTCCACAACCCTATGTTGATAATAATTATTTTGTTTTCTATTTAAAATCATTTATTTAACTTACCACATAAGTAAAGTTATGAAAATTGGAGCCAAAATTACAGTGAATTGTATATCATTTGCAATATACCAAGACCATTGTAAACACTAAAAAAAAAAGTGGAATTCATAAGCAACTGAGGAGATCTATGTATTATGATAATTTTGATAGATGTGACGAAGAATATAACTTTCTTGTTTTGGTAATTCTCACAGATAAAATATATTCTGTATTTACTGGTCATATTGTTTGGTATGTAGTCAATAATCATGCTCATTTACGTGTGTTACACCACATAGATATAAGTATTGTATAGGTAAGCTATGAAGTAATGATAAAGTAGTTCCGAACTGAATTATGTTCTAGTTACAATAAATATTAGTGAAATTACCCAGACATTTTCATCTTGCTATGCTAATGAGTTGTGACGTCTTGAATTGATGTACACATATACTTGGTTCTATATTATTTACGACTAACTTGAAACTGGATACATAAATAAATGATTAGCAAACTGAAACCTTTGTTTAAGTAATCTTCTAACACTCATTAGTAATCTGATTCTTTTACAGGTAACTTTTTACAGTTTCAGTGTTAGAAAAAGTGGGAAATATAAACTTCTATAGAGAAAGGTTTGAAAATATTTGCTAACGAATCGTTCATACTACTTGGGATAATTTGAGATTTAAATTATCTTCTAAAGAAATTAGTAATTGAAAGTTAACAGCTTTGATATGAAACAGTAAAATAATATGGGTGGTGAATAAATGTTCTATATTACCAGTGATCCAAATCAGCAATGACTGATTGTACTACTTGTTATTAATACTAAAATAGCTAGTATTACCGTAACAATGATTCTTTCAAATTATTTAACATTTGTATATCATGGACATTTATCCTTATAGTTGACTATGTGGAATTTTAATTTGAAATCTGACATAAGGGACCGACTTTGGTTAGAAAATCAAGTAGAACTAGGAAGCATTGGAAAGCTGCTTCACTCTAGTATGGGACTGCTCGGAAGTAAGCATTCACAAACCGGCTAGATATCGAACCAAGGATCATCAGATTAGTCATTAAAACATAGGGAATTTCGAAAGCCAATACAGCTGTACACTGAAAAGACTTTGGAAGTAATCATTCATGAAAATCATTTTCGTTATTTTCATGAACATAGTACGCTATATCATTAAAATTACGCGTCTAAGCCATTAGTTTTACCCAGTTCAAGAGCTTTATTATAAGGACTTCTGATACATATTACATCTTGGGTTTAACAATAACATAATTCAGGCACCATATATATATATATATATATATATATATATATATATATATATATATAAACTTTTAATGTAAGTAAACTGTGTTGATGTAATAATAATGATAATAATAATAATAGTAATAATAATAATAATGATAACCGTGTGCTAATTAATAATTACTTTCGGGATGTAGTTACTTCAGTTCTAGTTAGAAGTCGAGTTCAGAGGATTTCAACCATGTTGGGTGTGAGACAGTCGCTCACTAATAGTACTGCACTTACATTTAATACAGTCTAAAACGCAAATTGTTGGATGCCGGTCAAGTGGTATTAAGGTTAAATCACCAGACCTGAATGTTATAGCTTCAATGTTTGAGGAGTGAAAAGTTAACATTGCTGAAGAGTATTATACAGTAACGAAAAAATCTCGCTATTTCTCCATGACTTTCATTGGTTGTTTTTTTTACTAAATTTAATCAATGATGTAAGCTACAGAAATATTTATTTCGACTGGCTTTCTATTTCATTTTTCTCTGTTAGTTGGTTGGACGTAACCGACAGGATACTCTAGGATTATATTTCTTTATAATCCTCATGTTTTAACATTCTTAAAGGAACTAATATTCTTTTTTTAGAAATTGGACCTGTATCAGAGATTGTTACTATCAGATATATTGATTTAACCGAATAATCTATTGTAGAAATGAATTGTATACATTAACTGATTAATAAATCTAAACCAAAACCGCATTGTCTGGTTCTTATTACTAAGCCAATTGTTTACATAGATCACAATTATATATATATATATATATATATATATATATATATATATATATATATATATATATATATTGGTGACTTACACTATTCTTAAAATCGACTACATTAGTTAAATAAAAGAAATACCAATGTTTTCGACAATTCTCGATTACTGGTGAATGTATATCTTGAGGAAAAAATGGTCCATCGTATATATGGTTTAATAAACCCGTAAAGAAGATAACTGTAACAAGGTAAGCTGGAGTAAGTCTAAGTTGAATAATAAAATGACAAAGATATAATTTATAGGCAAGTAAAATCTAACAATAAATTTCTATTTAGATCGTAAATAATTTCAGTGAAAATAAATGTGAATAACATTTCAATTATTATGGCGCAAGTGCATCCACTCTTTGTGTTCTCCCAAATTCTAATCTTCTGAATTATTCATGTCCCTTATTTTCTCTCCAAACTTTTTTCTCTGTATTATACTCCGTGAATAACATCTTCAAGCTCTAATGTTTCCTATTACTGCTTATACTCTTACTACCTCTACCACAATTGGATTTGAATCGACAACTGCATCTCTGTGCTAATGTGGTGTGACAACTCGAACTGATGTACGTACGTACGAAGTTCCACGTTGTTACTGACTGATTGATTTTATTAAATCCATTATGGTATTTCATATAATTTTGATTAGGTAACTTCTAATATTACTAAAGATATACTTATCATAAGTCAAATTAAACTAAACTCACATAAGACTGGAGTTTATCTATTGAAGTGATTGTGAAATTAATCAATGAAAAAGTAATGATTTGCTATCAGGTATATTAATGTATCAGAATACCTATGTATGTTGATTTTATTGAGTAAAATAAGTTAGGTGATTTTATTGAAGAGTTTCCATTGTCGTTCCGGAGTACGTTATTAGCTCCAACTATTATCCATCTGAGAAAAACTGATAACATTGAAAGGATCTATTTCAGTTGTATATTTTCTTTATCATTTCAAATACATGTATGTTTATTCGAAATTAATCAGTAAAACCATATGTACGAAATAATGGCGTAATAATTCAATCGAGTTTAAAATACTGATACCCCAAAGATAGCTCTCATACAATTTTTCGGAAAAGAAAAACTTCTAATTTCAAGGTTTGTAATACATCCAACAATTTATGATTGATTGATCACCGATTAGTGACCAATATCATGTATCTCAAGTCCTTCTTGAGTTGACATTAATTAGCTGTAAATACATTGTAGTTCCACAGGATGTCATTCAACGTTCATATAGCTTACTGGTAATGTCTATGACTGTAAAACTGGGTAACATGGGATTGAATTTGCAATGGTGTATCAGTTCTTTTGATATTATTGATGTTTGAGTAATGTGAAACTTATGTTAAGCAGGGTCTCCTGTCGACTAATAAGCATATTGCTCTTTCGAAAAGAGAGCTCGTAAGTAATTTTAGTTGGAAGAAGAATGTACACATTATATAAAACATTTTTAATTGGATAATTCTATGTAATCAAGTTAATATTGAGCATTTAATATGATGTATTTCATTAAGTTGATAGTAAACGAATAATTGATAATCGTTCTGATTTCTTTTGATCGATTAACTGATAAAAAATTAGTTAATTCAGAAGATGCATTAGCTCTTCAATATCAGATAATAGTTTTGCGATAATATCATTACTTTGGTAACATCTTGACAAAATGGCCGTTCAATGCTTCTAGGGTTCCCATGGTGATTTAGCTTAAATTGACTCATGAATTTAACCATTAAATTATTAAAATCTTCACAAAACCACTTTCTGAAAATACTTATCATCTGCTCACTATTGACTGGTTTCAAGAGGCATTTCCTGGGGTTCTAGTGAGAAGCAGTTACCAGTGGAGTTCAACCAGGTCTGTTGTGAGATAGTAACTCACTGAAAATAATGATTGACGATGGCTCAACTTCGTGGATTAGTTGAAGTTAGACAATAACACGGTTGGATGATGGCTGGCTCAGCGGTTTAGTGGTTAAGCGTTCGCGCGACAACGATAGGTTCTGGGTTCTTATCCCGCAGGTGGGATCGTGGGTGCGCAGTGCTGAGATGTCCCATCCTATGACGAAACGCCCGTTTTCCATGATGATCTAACTTTAATTGACTCATGAATTCAACTATTAGACTACTAAAGTCACCACAAAACCTTCTTCCGATAATAAACATTTTGAAGTGACTAGACCTGATATAAAGAAAACAATACAGAATTTTAAGAGAACAGAATTTCCTGTTCATACAAAGAAGGAAAGAAATTATCACTTAACTGATAAATAATGAAAAAACATGTAAATGAAATTTACACAATAATTACTGACAGATACTTCTTTTCTGTCTTCATAAAAAATGAATTTTGTCAATTCATGATTACATTAATGAGTTTTCATTTCAAAACTGTGTGATACATCATTTCGATTCAAATCATAGTATAGATTTTAGTATGGGGTTATTTCTCAACCCATGATCAATTAATTACATGTTCACGCTGTTATATCCGAATGAAGAATAAATGAATGGTAATTGCTAGTAATTATTTATGGACTGTTATTATACAGATATTCTTATTGTATAACTATTATACATGATTCATATAGCGGAAGCTGAGATTGTGCTCTGGATTTAACGTGCAGGGCTAGGTGATAAGAACCAATATGGACTCAGAGTGAACTCTGGGCTGCTCGTGCTGGTTAACGCATCATTGATTCGACATAGGGTCAATGTCGTATAAACCGGTGTTTTGATTGGCGATCTTGTTAGGTGATAATTTTCAGGGAAAAATTCATAACATACATTAAGGAGAAAGAATGTGTTTAAAAAATCTCAGCGAATAAATCTGAAGTACATCCAACGTTTCGCCTAGTAATCTAGTTCAAACTTTTTCAAGGAATTATAATCAGACATCAAAATAATCGAATATATTCGATAATTTTGATTTTAAAAATACATTCTTTCTCCTTATTGTTTCATATCAACTCGATCAAATTTAGACGAAAGTTCTTATATTCATAACTTACGTGTTCTAAAATTATGAATCTTTGTAAACTGTTTATTTAGATTTTTCACTACTCATAATCATGTTTTTGTTTTTAAATCACAATTGATTGTGTGTCTAGTCCTTATTAGTGCAGATCGAATGCTATCGACCATGTTGCAATGTGGCCACCAGCCTAGGTGACTCGACACTGCAAGCACTATTGTGAGATTAGATGGTGCTTGGAGGTAGTCGACAGGAAACCCTGGACCAGGGTTTCGTGCTACATGGCACTCATCAACAAGGTGTACCTGTAATCTTGAGGGAACTAGTGCTCCCTGGCGGATTCGATTTCGTGTCACCCAGATTCACAGTCAGAGACGTTGCCACTGAGATATCCGGGCCGCGACCGACCTCCTGTAGGACTGAGATGTAATCACAATTGATTGTTTGTCATTTACTGAATGTGTAAATAACCTTCTAGTATAATTTAAATTCCATTACTGTCTCTATGAATGTTTAGAACCAATTTAAGAAATTAACTATCTTACCTGATAAAGCGATGTACGATTAACATTAACCAAAATTTCATATAGTTTTTTACACCATTTACATTTGTGATTCGTCCCATACATAAATAACATATTAATAAACCCCTGAATAAAATTTTTTTTAAATCACTATAATTAATAGTTCCATAAATTATGAAGAATAAAGTAGTTGATTATAAGTAAATGAATGAACAGTTAAAAGGGATACTTAATTAGGTAGTCTATGAATGGAACAGTATAAAGAAGTTGTAGATTAGAATGAAATATAGATATAGTGATTTCAGTAGTTCTTCAGATAATCTCGCTTGTTTATCACAGATATATATACTCTTCAGATTAATTAATTACTTCGATTCGCAGTTATATAATATACCCTTGTGGGCCAGGGTAATTTTACATTGGTTTTCAGGAGAACCAGACACCATCCGGACTTTTACGTGACAACCCAAACAGTACAGCTCAATCGCGTTTAACAGGAGAACCAGACACCGTATAGGATTTAACGCTAGAATCTGAATAGTACAGCTCAATCCTGTGGCGCAACCACACAGGTACCAAGCACCCTGGTAGACCAATTACTTCGATTGATAACTGCTAATGGTTTAAACACTGATTTACATACAATATTAATCAAAATCAAATAGTTGACAGAAATTATATACTTTTAATCAGTTATATTTTTATGCGCTTTATAATTCATTGCTATTCTCAAAAGGTATTATAGTCAGAAATGAATTCTAAACACTTAGGAATGATTTGTTTGACGTTGGCTTGTATGTATCAAACCGAATTTCGATAAGTTGTTGTTGGTGGTAGTGTACATGCACTTTTTGTGGATTGCCTCGATACAGATATTATGTTACAATTTACTTAAAATAAATGGATTGGACATATCCCAACAAAGACGGATCCAAATATCAACAACGGGATAGTTTAAACCCACACTAATAATGGTATTAACACTAAACCCAGTGAAAAAGTTAATGACTATCTAAAGCCAACAGCTTATAATGGAAAACATATTAAGTGTTTGAAGCGATGGATACTAGATTGGAGTTCCAATGTGAATATGTATACTAGGATGCAGGTAAATCTAATTGACAGGATCCGCTTTACTCTTATTACTGATTTGAAAACTTACAAATGTCTATTTAAGGAAATGTCTAAAAAAAGCACAGATTAAAATGTACTCACGACATAAAAAGAAGATATCTGGAGCTAAATGTCCATTGAAATACATTCCGAATAGCCAAATACGTCGAAATTCACCAGCTAATATCAATAAATTATCTAAAGAAATGTTTTTTTTTATTAAAAAAAATACAATTTCAAGTAAACTTTAACATTTCCAGTTATTGTATTAATGGTTATGGAAATCTTTAATATTAGAATTTCCAATGGTGAAACGACTTTAGCTAATGGAACACTGAAAATTTAGAAAAACTAGTTGGCTATTCTGTCTTTATACGGACCTCTTCTTCAATATGTATCCACTATTCCTCCAAGAATCGAGCCCAAGATCTTTTTGTAAATATTGGGAATTGACTAAATTTTGAAATATAAATCATTGTATCCTAACTCACCATATGGTCTAGAGGTTCAAACTCTTATCTCTTAAAGGACTGCCGATACGCATTGTTTAAGAGTTTCATTGTGTAACGAAACACCTTTTAATGCTGGCGAGTTTTCTGAGATTACCCAACTAAGGTCCGTCTGTGCTATATAACTATAAGACTTACAAATATATTAATTTATTTATAACAATCTACCCAGTGCTCAATTTATTCGAAATTATCAAATCAAACCTTGGTAATGATACCTACAATATTAACAGTTATAATTCTCCGATTTCATTGGTTTAAAATAATGTTCGTGAGTTATGTAAGTAATTTTAAGCCAAAATCATTTGGTTAATCATCGAGAATCCAGAAACCATTGATCCAAGTTGGTATAACCAACACAAACCCAATAATTCTAGAATACATATGCAACATGATACTTTTAGACCGTTGAGCTATAATTTATTGACTCATACATTTAAATTTAGTCAATTCGTGAAATAACATCACTAATGAGATACCACTTTACTTAAAAATTTCTTTCGAAGACAAAATTTACATTCGAACTTTATAAGATGTTCTTTTTGAGTTAAGTAGAGTTGTATAATCACAAATAAACACATAAAAATATCTATTTGGACAACTTAGGACTGAACAAGTCTTCTAACATAAATTTGGTAGAACTGGATATCGACTAATAGATAACAGTTTACTATTGAGAGGACTAAACAACGTACTTTAAATAGATATCATTAGAATTGTTAGTCTAAATATCATACTACTCATTATTGGCTGAAGTAGATCCACAAACATTGCATTCCACTTTGCTTTCAGTGTTTTTCAAGTCGTAATTTAACCCTCGAGCCATAATGTCACTAATTTATTGAATTAGCAAAATATAGTTCATAATTTCAAACACAGGTACTAGACATAGGAAATCAAGACTGCGTCAGCCTGGAAAGCTGTTGTGAGCATGTTGTAAAGTAAAATTAACTGACATTCCAATAACACTGAACCATGTAAATATTTTCTAAAAGAAACTAATTTCCAATAACATTTCTTTGCTCACTTCAATTGTATTATCATACCAAATGGAATGACATAAGCAGATAGATATATGTATTGAATAGCAATGATGGATAGTGGAGTCCAGGACTCGCGTTTCGTCCTATTTGGGACTCGTTAGCTGGATGTACCTGCATCTCAGAGTTGACGTTCACTCTGGGACTCGAACCCAGTATCAGTCGCTTCAAACGCCATCGCGTTACCCACTCAGCTATTGAGTTCTGATAGCCACTTGCTTGTGCATACGCACAGTTTGCACATATGCCAATAACAGACTGATCAATTGCAATCTTAAACCTCAATGGGAAGATACAAGCCAAACAATATCAAGTGAATTTATGTATTAAATAGGTTGAACAAGTTAACAGGAAACTTTAACTATAGGTTTCTTGCTAGCATCGGAACACTTGTATGCAAAGGATATGCTTATTTTTGACAGAACTGATATTCCTATGATTTTAAAATCTGTATCATTGAATGTTACCATAAAGTATTTGACCATTGAATTAATCGAGCTGTGTCTAGTCTCATACAAATTTGACATATTGACACTAATCAGGCAATTAACAGCAAATTCATTCGATTTTTTAATATTTAAATGTGCCATTCAACACTTTTCAATATGACCATTTGTCTAAATAACTTAATATTTCATGATTAGTCATAATGTTGGGATCATGAAAAGTCTCCACATGATCATAGATAACGACAGCATCTGTACTTGAAAATTTTCAGTATAATTTATAATTTTCGCCTGTAAAGCAAAACTATTATACTGCTTGAAAATCGAGCTTAAAATGTTTGCAGTAACAAGTAATGTATTGAAACGAATTCAACTTACTTGTCAACTTATAACCATGCAGTAGTATATGTGCTCCAATAATCCAGACCATTGAAATACATCGAATACCATCAAAAAATGTTAATGAGATATTATGTGTTCCATTAGATTTATTATCTTCATTTCTTTTTGCACATAATTTCATTGTATTGATTGGTAATGAATAAGCACATAGTATCTTGGTGAGAATACGTTTTTCCAAAATACCTTGTAAAGAAAAGAAATTTATTTTTTATATTGAATATTTCTATACTCATTAAAAGGTTAACGTTTTTTAGAGAGTTGGTTTTCTACAGGAAGAATAAACAAAAAATTGAATAGAACTAGAAATGAAGGCCCAGGACAGAGTGGGTTGGAGAATGCTGATCGGCGGCCTATGCTTCATTAGGAGTAACAGGCGTAAGTAATACTCATTCAAATAAATTTCATTGTACTTAGAATAATTTACAATTCATCATTTAAAGAAATAACATAGTTATAAGACAATTAACAGATCCATTCGAAGAATTTGAGTGGTATCTGCTTACTCTTTCCGTATAGCAATAAATATATTTTACAGTATTTTTGTGAGATTCAACAAGAACTTTCGTTGGAAGAATGTGAAAATTTTAATAAAACAATGATAGTACTAGTAATATGAATAGTAGTAATGATATAAAAATATAAATAATGTTTAAATATTCGAAAAGGTCACAGACCAGAAAACCAATCAATAAATTCTTATATAAGGCTTTAAAATATAGTTTGTAAATAAGGGAATCCTGGTTACGAAGATAATAAAGTATCAAAAAACAGATAGGAAAGTTGAATTCATGAGTCGATCTAAGCTAGACCACTATTGAAAACCTGGAAGCAAGATTGGAAAGTGTGGAAAAACCATAGTCTTTTTATATGATTTCATATTGTCATATGAGAGAGAGAAAAAAAACATACATCACATACTTGGTTTGAATAAAATGATTGAGGCTTCTGGCTAGGAATCCGATAGTGTATGTTATGTGTAGTAATTCATTTTGAACAAAGTTACGAAAATGTAATGGATTGTGATGCATAACTTTTGATTATCTAGTTCTCTTTCACCAAGTAGCTTTTATCAAATGGATGTAATAAAAATAGCTATTAGTTGAGTTTGTCTGATCGTTTCCCCAATCAATGAGGGAATTATTGGTTCTTTGATAAAGGTAACTGACAACACTAATTACGAAAAGTAGGATGAGATTGCAACTAGACAAAAGGTGGTGCAATAAGATTATTTACCACACCTATGGTTTATTTAGACTATAAAAATAAAGATTGACACCAGAAAATGTCATTTTACAGTCTTGATTAAGATTTGGTGCAAGTCAATCTCTCTTGAATCGGTACTCACAAAATAGAGACATCTTTCGAATACACAATGTTTCTAAGTTCTTGTTCGTCACATGGATATATTTACTGACAAAACTCTCGAGGTAATCCATTTTACAGAATAGGTTTGACAGATACTTCAATTCTCTCTTTATAATATCGTTCAAGCCAAGATTTCTTGGTTTGTTAGCGTAACATGTTATGAAAATTGCTTTAGTGTCCGATGATCACGAATTGAGAGCACTGTGTATCCTGATATTTTGGCAAGTCTTGTCTGTACACACTTAAACTAATAGATTTATCATGTAGTTTGTTTAACGGAGAATTTTAAAAAAAATTGTAATAAATCAACAAACTCTTGGCAAAAAAAGTAAAATTAAGTGATTTGGAGAACATGGACAAGTCCTCTCAAGATTCAGACCACAGTGCTAAAGCTAATTAACCTGATTAACAGATTTTTGAGTTATTTGGTTCTCATTTTTGAATAAATAATAATCGGTTGGATTGAAAAGAATGAAAGCTTGGAAAACATTGAATTATCCACTACTGTTAATGTTCATGGATCAATAATTAATTAATTCCATAATGATCTATGTTGGTTTTATAAACGATATTAGTTTGTCATTTTCGGTTCACAGTCAATTTCTTATACACAACTAAGTTACCCATATATGATACTCCGAATTTGAAACTTATTCACGCTCAGTTCGAGTGATTGAAACAAAACATATGAGTTCATTTCACTTCTGAATACTTATTATGCCCTAATGAACTTGCAGTCTAAATAACTGTACATACGTAATGTGTTACTTTAACAAAGTTTTCTAAGCTATATTTACAAAGCTATTGAAAGTGTATCATACTATGCTTCTCCGTATTGCATCCATTTTGTTACGTAACCATTATTTGACCGGATCTCTCTTACTCACCCACTTGTAATTAGTTTAAATTATTTAATAGGGAGATTTTTGTGAAAATGTTTACATAAAACAGAAAAGAATTTTCATTCGAAACGGAATTGAACTAAAACATCATTGTAAATTAAGAATCACTGGTTGATTATTTTGTTCAAAACGGTCTCTGTAGAAAAATGTGCACCCTCATATGGGGGATTTTCGAACCTTCACTTTTATTAGTCAGTACAGTGTCTCAACAAAAGTCGGTTTGAATCATATATTTCACATTCCAAACATTTGGTAATTTATGATGTAGTACAATGTTTATTCAATATGATTAATAAGTCTCTGAATCATTACAATGTTTCGTGATTTTTTGTGAACACTGAATAAGCGACTATAACGTCACTAGCTCACAATAACTGCTCAATATTTTGAGTAGACCTTATACCAATATCTGTTTATTTCATGGAGTTAGTTGATTTCATAGTCTTGAATTTCTACACAATTAATTCATGTTGAACGACTAAATATATTTACAATCATTCAATAATCTATTGCTCATTCAGTCTTTTCTATATTAACCATTAACTTGAGCTACCACTGAAATGGATTTCTGACAAACAAAAAATCGATATCTTTAATTGATTACCTTTGTTTACAAAAAGACTTCTTTCAGGTAATGAATATCAAAGAAGAATTGGGTTACAATAACAAATAGTTACTGAGTACGTCATTTACAAATTATTATTATCATTATTATTTTACTTTATTTGACAAACTATTTACAACTAAGGTTAACTGAAAAGTTTTATTGGTTCTCATTTGAAAAACCTTAGAAGTGCTCATAGAAGAACTCGCTAAGAATAGACTCTAGGAACTTTATATCTCTTAGTGATCACAGTGCCTTAATATAATAATCATCGTTTGTTATATTTAGTCCCTGTTTAATGTTCATTCTAGATATGCTTCATCTGTCATGATCTCACGAGTTTATACTAAAGCTTGTCAATTGTGAGATGATTGTAGTTTATTTGATTTGTTGTACAGATTGACTCCACTTTAAGTTAATTTTTGTCATAAATTGTAACTATAGATTTTGAGCCTACTGTTTACAAACTATAAACTTTACTGAGAAATTTGAAGTTCGATTCTTAATGAAGTCTTGAATATCTACTTCTATAGAGTTTAAAAATAAAGCTTTACAACCACATAGTGCTCCTTAACTTTCATTAGCTCTTTATATAATGTCATTCCAAAATGAAAATTATCTTCACAATTAAACATAGCTATTCATAATTTGTTTTCACTTGTCAAACATTACTGTAACATGTATTTTCTTTCGGCTACACGAGCGCGCACACACACACACATACACTCAAAAGCACATTACAATGTTTCATTTACACATGTTAACAAATACACTGCTCATATTGTGTCTGGTAGTTTTATTAATATACTGCATTCCATGGAGGAATCAATAAATCACTACAATTATTTATCATACGACAAAATCTATGTTTTTCATTGTACCAATTAAACCAGTAAACTTTACATGATCTGATTTCCTTCATTGATTTATAAAATACTTGTTCATTAGCTAAATGTTTAATTGGCTTAATATTCTGTTGAATAAAGCATTTGATTAACATTGATTAGTTTAATGATTATATATCTTACGATTTTCTTAGTGTATAAAATTGGATCTTACATTAAATTTATACTGAACGATGCTGAACAAATTAGGTCAGAAATATACGTTACCTCAAAATTGTGGTTGGAAGATCATTTGAAGTCAGAGTTATTATTTTAGTTACTAGTTGCGTAGTGAAGGAGAACACGGGTGAGGACAATGGAATTAGATCAAACAAACAATTACAGAGTTACTTGGTAAAAAAAGAAAAACCATACTATAATACTTAATTTGCAAAATGTTCAATAATTGTCTCGAACTTCGTTGTTCTTGCATTTCCATACTAATTGCTTTTTATTTCCGCTCTTCCTTTCTTGATCTTCTCCATCTTCCGCTGCCAGACATTACATTCCTGACTCGCGTCTTATACTACTTATATCAATATAAGTAGCACGCATCACAGTTATATTATTGAGATAAAAACTTCAAATTTCAGGAATATTTTATAGATAGGTTCCATGACAAAGTCTTTAAACTAATGTAATATGTATGTGTTGAGCTCGAAAGAATCATATTTTTCTCCTCAGATTATACTTCGCTCTATTCCATAACATAACCAAAGATGTTATGACTCAAAAGATTCTGATGAATACTGTAAACTTGTGAATGGTACTTAGTATTTGATTGGTTGATTTCATAAAACTATCAGCTAAGTTGATGATTTTTGATTAAAATAAAACAAATCAGTAGTGATGCAATAATTACACTCATGCTCAAAGATATTGAAGACGTATTGACTCAGATTATTTTTAACAATATCTATGTTATTGGTTCCTGATGTTTCTTAGAAAACTCAGTTTGTTACCTGGTTGAAAATGTAAAAGCTGTTAGAATTCAACAGAATTTCTTGAACTTGTTCAGTTTTCTCACTTTAAATTTGTCGTTACTTCCATCATAACATATCTATTGAACATTTGAATATATTACCTTACAACAATGAGTGAAATTAATCAAAATTGGTTATGGCGGTTTTTGATTAAAAATCCTACACTTTTGTACTTCATTCAGTGTTATTCCTTTTTACAGTAACCTAATATTATTATTAAAAAAACTTCATACATATTATCACTGTTAAAAGTTTTGATTAAACTACAGTATAGGGATGAGATAAAAACAACTGTGACTAATTTCCGCCTAGTTCCAAGTCCGTCAGAAAACAGATTTTACGAATGGCTATTTTATGGGGAAAAATAATATTGCAAATCTCAAATAGATTTCAGTCAATTATTAAGTCTACTAGTGTCTTTAATAGGTTACACTACCTGTAAATA